TCCTGAGTACAGTTATAATTTCTAATAGAGTGGCTACTGAAAATAATTATGACTATAGTACATGAAACAATGTGTATAAAACTGTATATTCACTGATGTAAATTATATGAAATATACATAAATATGCATAAAAAACATGAAAATGAAAAAATGCTCTGAAATTAAGGATGATAGTATGGATGAGGACAAAATTTTCAAATATTCTTCATTAAAGTATTGCTTTACATACACTTTAATATTTTACAAATAAAATTCAAAAGAAAAATTACTATTTAGACCATCTAAAATAGTAATATGGAATAAATGAAAAAATGTCCATTCATCAGCTCCTGGTCAGGGTAAAATCAAAACAGACTAATCAGGATGTAAATAAGTAAATAAATACTAACATTTTATTATTCCAATAAAGACTTCTAAATATTAGAACAAAAAATTTCTATAAAACATGTTCTGCTCCATTGCTAACAATCATTTCATTCAATGTGTTCAAAATATAGTAAATAATGTTACCAGATTATCACTGAAAACAGATTTGTTACCCAATCTAATCTACTACATTGAAGCGACCTAGCCTTGTCAGTGTTATTCTTTCAACAAATATTTATTGAATATCTTCTATGCCCAAGGCATTGTTATGCCTCCATATCTTAAACAGTAGAAAGCAGACCTATTAAATAAGGATATCTACATACTAGAACTAGAATCACAATAAAGAGGTATCAGTGTATTACACATTCTCTCACAGCTTCTGTTAATACAAATCTTGTTTACAGATACTAACATGAAATTTGAAAATGCCCAGTGAACATCTACATAAATCTTGTTACATTTCAGATACTAACATGAACTTCAAATTAAAGTGCCCAGTGTACATATACACAAACTTCAAGTTTATAGTTCAAGTAAGATAGCACTCACTAGTCTAGAAAAAAATATGTAGGGCTGGGAGCAGTGGCTCACGCCTGTAATCCCAGCACTTTGGGAGGCCAAGGCGGGCAGATCATGAGGTCAGAAGATCGAGACCATCCTGGCTAACATGGTGAAACCCCATCTCTACTAAAAATACAAAATAAAATTAGCTGGGCGTGGCGGTAGGCGCCTGTAGTCCCAGCTACTCAGGAGGCTGAGGCAGGAGAATGACGTGAACCTGGGAGGCGGAGCTTGCAGATCACACCACTGCACTCCAGCCTGGGCAACAGAGCGAGACTCGTCCCCCCCAAAAAAAAAAGAAAAAAGTATGTAATATCCCTTGCATAACATTTATTAAATAATTAACTACAAATGGTATACAATTAATGATGCTGAATAAAGCGACTCCAAGTCTTCTAGCATCTTTCCCCTTATCTAAAACCGCACTTAAAGTTGCTCTGCCCCACCTCTTTCTCACATGGTTTCTCAGATTCTCTGCATTTCAGATTATTAAAATGTTTCCAATAATTTTTTTTAAAAGTTATTCGACCTACTGTAGTATTTAAAGACCACACTCCAAAAACTATTCCTCTCCATTGAATCAACATGTCTCTTATAATTGAAGAGTGTTAGTGAAAACTTGATTTGATATTTCCCTGACAGAGAAGCACACTTGTAACCAGGTGCTCCAGTCACTCTCTTTTCATACCATTTCAACCACTGATCTGGCTGAAAGAGGTCTGAGTGAGATGAGAGAGGCAACAACCAAAAGCAAAAGTGATCGTGGGAGTGCTCAGCAGGAGTAAGCTGCAATTTGGCAACTGTATTTGCTAAATAATAAATTAAAGGTGCTTCAAATTTCTCATATCCAATGCTTTTAAGGCTACAGCTGGAACATATTTTCATGATAGCTAAGAAGAGTTATAAGATATACAAGCCAAAGCAACAGATAATCAGAGAATGACACAGCTGATTTTGAAGTCAGATATAATAGAGTGATTGGGAAGTCTTCTTTTGCTTATGTTTCAGACTAATACTTAAATTAAACCAAAAAGTTTGCAAAAGCACAAGTGTTCCAAACTCACCAATATAAGACGTAAAGAAAAAGAAGCCAGTTTCTGAAATTCTGACCACATATAATCCAAACAATAGAAAACCTATGCGTGGTTTAGCAACAGTGACTTCATCTTAAAAAGTGAAAGAAAATAAAAAGCAGAAAAACAGGGTGGAGAGGGCTTATTAAAGGAAAAATTACTCTCACACTCAAGATTGGGGCAAAGGCAGGAGCACAAAAGTAGTGCCACAAGAACAGTGCTATAGGATATACAACGCGAGAGAGTACAATTCACACCACAGTCTATGTAAGATTGCACCCCAAGTGTTGTACAGTGCAAAACCTGCCCACTGTATCTGGCAGCCCTGGGCATAAGGGCATTACTCTTTAGTACAGTGAACCACAGCATTACCTGCTGCCTCTCCACAACAAAAGAACAAGAAGCAATTGTATTTTATCGTGATGAGATCAAATAGACCCACCTCAAAATGCTACTATTGTATTAATATATATTCAAAGTCTTTCAGTAGATTTAGGGCAATAAACTGATTTGTTTTACATATGAGATCAAAAGACTTGCTGAGTTCTTTATGTCAAAGTATTTTAGCCACGGATTTTTTCTTTTAAAATAGTATTGATCCTCAAACTGCCCAAAGTCTACATTTAACACAGTACTACATCATAATAGGTACTTAATACTGAGTTTTTCAACTTTTTCAACTATAAAATCCTTTTTTACCTATAGTTGCTATAACATCAATCTAATTCCATGTCAAATATGCTCTTAAAAGTTCACTTTCAACTCCTTCTACTCCTACATATAAACACAAATCTGATGAAAAACGAGAAAATTCAGACCAAGTCTGCTGAAGCATGGGAACACTGAAATGAATTTGGGGTGCTGAGGCTGCTGTGCCTATCCTAAATCACCTTAACCCAGAAATGGATATGGTTCGCTGAGATTCTTCAGCTCTGATGTATGCCTAGGTCAGACCTTTTAAAGGTTTCTCAAAAATCACAGTAAATTTGGGTATCTAGCCTTGGTTAGTGGAACGGAATCTAGAATTATTTTTTGATTATTTAAGTCCAGGAGGCAGAACGCAGAGAGAATACAAACCAGGAAATGTGGCAAACATTAGGACAAGATGCATTTAATTAAATAATTTTTGCCATGCACACACACCTGTGACCAAAGACGCGCATCTTACCAAATATTCCCCTATCTTCTTTTATAGTATCTCTAATAGTATACAATATCCACAATATCACTCTCCTCGAGAGGCAGTTTGGCACGATGATTAACAACATGAACTCAGATTACCTGGATTCAAATCCTAGCTCTGCAACTTATAAGCTCTGGAACCTTGGGCAAGGTTAATACCTCAGCCTTAAGTTTCCTCATTTGTAAAATGCGGATAATAACCATACGTATCTCATGGGTTTGTTGTGAGAATGAGTGGATACAAGGTGTTTGCAACAGTACCTAGTACATAGTAGGTATTCAAAAAATGTCTGCTATTATCTTCTCTACCTTTTAGCTCTCATTTGGGCAACAAAAAGAATTTAAAGAAAACCATCTGGTCCAGCTGCTTCATTTTACAGATAAATCAAGGCCAAAGACAACAATGGCTTACTGAAGACCACAGAAGTAGTCAGCAACAGGGCCAAGACTACAACAAATGCCCAAGTGTTTTTTCCACCATTTCACCACAGCTGTTGTCACATCTGAGACTGCAGATTTTGAGACCTTTTTCTAATATCCGTCCATCTTCAGTCACTCAACTTTTCTGCATCTAAAATTGATTTCACCATCTGTCATACTAGAGAACTAGCAAGACTGCTAAAATAGTATCTTCGTGCATTAATGTGCTAAATGCTTTGCATATGTTATTTCATCAAATCAACAGAAGGAAATTGCAATTTACAGATATGGACACTAAATTTCAGAAAGGCTATATATCTTTCACAAAAGCTGTTTCAGAGGTTTCACAGCCAATGTCTCTACCAAGAATTTGAACCCAGGTCTAACTTCACCGTCCACGCTTTTTCCATTATGCAATGGAAGAAACTTTAATATGGCCCTAATCTTAAGTTTGCCAAACATTTTGCTACCACTGATGTCAAACTCCTCTGAAATCTTTACTAACCAAATCAAGATAAACCCCATTCCCTTTAGGCTACGTCAACTTCAATATAATTTGTCTGTTCAGCTCTGTTCAAGTTCTGCTTTGACTTGTCCTGGTTAAATAATCCAGTTTTTCCACAAGATCAAGGAATTGTTTGGCCAAATGAGGATGTAAACGGAAGCTATACTCTTAAGAGGATGGCTAGCTACACTGATTTTAATCAGGGATACAGGTACCAGAATACATGGGCATAGCTTTGGGTTCTGGGGCATAGACAGCGTGTTGGGAACACCTGGAATGGCATCTGTCCTTATTGTTGCGTAATAGTCTGAGGTTGACACATTGTATAACAGAAGCCTTGCCTTTCAGGAATGTATCCTCTTTCTCCTTTCCAAACCTTACTTCCCAAAACTTGTTCAGCAGGACTCTGGGGAGAAGACGATTCACCAACAAACCCAGGTGCCGCTTTCGCCGCCTGGAAAGACGTTCCAATCCTTATTTTACGGCTCACTAGGCTCCTTCCCCACCTTGGCCTCCCCTCCCAACTCTCAGGCTCTTGCAGAGCAGCCACGGGCAGGTCCAGGCGAGCCAGGTCCCATTCCACCCAAACGCCCCTCCCGCAGTCCAATTCCAGAGCTGGGGGCTGCAAAGCGGCTCCCGACCCAGGAGCTGCGGGGAGAAACCTGCACGATGTCTGCGTCAGGGACCGCGAGAGGCCCTTCTCCCAAAGAACGCCTGGGCCTGACAACGAAAACAGGAGAAAAAGAGGTTGCGCAGGGGTTCTGCAGGGAGCCAGGCCTCCGCCGCCCACCAGACGCCCAGGCCCAAGACCGCTCCTCCCGGGCCCCCGGTGCGCATGGCCGAGTCCAGCCCGCCCCGCCCTCCAGGCCCTCGGAGGTACCAAGGGTTTAGGTCTAGTCGCCTGGGGCCAAGCCCTCTGCTGCCCAGGACGGCCCTCACCTTCCGCTCGAGGCGCCGGGAGAGGGAGGGATCAAGCAGACACCTCAGGCCGGGACACTTGAACCAACTGACGCCGGCAGCTCCGCCCACTCCGCCCACAGAATGTGCGTGAGAAGAATCCCGCCCCGTCCCGGCACCCCGCCCGCCAATCACGACTCGAGGAAACACGCCTGCGCATTAGCTGCCCGCCGCCCCCAAGTCGTCCAGTCTCAAAGCACAGGACACTGACATCCAATCAGGATTGAGGTCGCTGTGGGCGGGACCTGGAAGAGCGACAGCCAGTGACAGTAAAGAAGGAAGCTGCGCCGCCCTGGTGAAGTGGCTCATCGTGTCTCTTAGGAAACCTTGAGAATTGGAGTGAGAATCCCAGTGTGGAAAATCAGGAGAGAGGTTGGTATGAGCGACAGAGAAGTCATTCAAGTTCAAGAAAAGAGCGTTTGCGAACCGAGCAGAGAAAGTCAATGCGACACCGTGGTTCCTCAATTCTAAAAGCAGACTTTTTCATATTTTTCTTATTTCCGAAATCGGAAAGCTTATAGTTGCGCTAGTGGAATGTTCCTCTCCTCACGCCCCTCCTCCCAAACTATTATTAAATCTGTAGTGCGTGGCAACTTAATATTTTAGAATTGAGAAAATACCCTAGTGGTACTGAGGCGTAGCATTTTTGCTCACCTTACCCCGTTGGAGCCTCACAGCAACCCACAGAAAGGAACTGAAGCCTGAGCATGAATAGGTTTCTTGCTCAAGGTCACACATACGGTATCAAGTGTAGAGTGTTCTTCGTGACACTGCTCATCGTAATCTAGCACTTGACACAAAGAGGCATCCTGCTTTAATATTCGTTGAGTACAAAGCAGACATCCACAGCAATGCATTATTTTGGCTTTGGCACAGTCTCCTGAACTGTAGAGACAAGCCTTATGTCTCCCTGTTTCTTGACTTTTTACTTCTGGCACAGTTTGCTGACACATCGCCTTAATCATTTTAAGAGCTATATAAAGAGATCTTCCATTCACTGTTTTGAGAACTGTACATTTGGCTGAGATTACAATACTCAATTTGAGGACATTTACTAGAATGCAGTGTAGGAGCTAAATAAATGAAAAAACTCCAACATAAATCTAATAGGAGTGCCAAAAAAGAGACACTAGAGAGAATGGATGCAGGCAGTATTCAAAGAGTAATAACTAAGAACTTTCCAAGATTGTGGATTATTTGAATTTTCAGTTTCAAGAAATACTTATTCTTGAGCAGGATTGATATAAAGAATTCTCTGCAATGGTGAAATTGCAGGACACCAAAGAACAAGAGAAACTATTAAAGCAACTTTTTGCTAGAATAATATTTTTAAATGTTTTTAATTGTAGTGAAATATACATAGAATAAAATTTACCATCTTAACCATTTGTAACTTAGTAGTATCAGATACATTCCACATCGATGTTCAACCAATCTCCAGAACCAATCTCTCTTTTTATCTTGCCAAACTAAAACTCTATACCTATTAAACAGCAACTCTCCATTTCCTACTCCCCTCATCCTCTGGCAGTAATCATCTTACTTTCTGTTTATCAGTTTGACTACTCTAGGTACCTCACGTGAGTGGAATGATACAGAATTTGCCCTTTTGTGACTGGCTTATTTCATTTAGCATAATGCCTCAGGGTTCATCCATGTTATAGTATATTGCAGAACTTCCTTTTTTAAGGCTGAATAGTTCTATATATCATTTATTATGTGTATTATACCACATTTTGTTTATTCATCTATCAGTGGACACTTAGGTTGCTTCCTCCTTTTGGCTATTGTGAATAATACTGCTGTGGACATGGGTGTGCAAATGTCTCTTTGAGACCCTCTTTTCAGTTCTTTTGGATATACACCTAGAAGTGTGCATTAATTTGTGCTGAATCATATGGTAATTCTATTTTAAAGCAACTTTTTAAAAACTGGTATTGACATAAGAATAGACAAAAAGAAAATTAGAAAAAACAAAAAGGATACCTGGAATTTGGTATATAGTAAAGATGTCTGGTGAGGAATAACTGTTTCTAAGGTTGTGGGAAAAAACTATTATTCATTACTTGGGAATGTAAATTAGTACAGTAACTGTTCATAGGATATAGAAGACACAAATTTTATTGGTTCTAGTTAAATTGGCTATTTATATAAAAATAAGAAATTCGATCCTGATACAACAGAAATAAAACTAAATTCCAAATGAAATAATGACCCAAAATGTGAGAAACAAAACTCTAAACTTTTAGAAGAAAAGCATATGTCTTTATGATATCACCATAGGGAAGAAACAGTATGATTCATTAAGGAAAGATGTAAAATATTATTTTAAAATTTAGAAGTTTTACAAACAGAAGAGAAGCCATCTCTAATCAAGTTAAAAACAAGCCACAGGTTGGCAGAATATAGTAAAACTCTGAAAATATAAAGAATTCAGACACATCAATAAGAAAAAGACAACTCAAGATAAATATATTCAAATAACATAAGTAGGCCACTTACAGAAGAGGAAAACTCAATGGCCAGAAAGATTTTTTTTAAAATGTTTACCTTCACTAATAATTAGGTAAAATAACGTTAAAACAATTAGATAAAGGGGCATATTCATCAAGAAGACGCAAAATCCTAACCACAGTGCTAAAAAATAGCAATGAATCAAAAATTAATTGAATTCAAACAGTTCATTACTTCCTGCTCTGCAATTTGTAAAACAAGTATACAGAAAATCTAAGTATACAGAACTCAGGTCCCAAACTTTTCAGTATATTAGAATCACCTGGGAATCTTTTAATTATTCTAGTGAACAGACCACACCTCAAAATAAATTACAATCTTAAGGAGTGAGATACAGGCATTAGTGTTTTTGAAAGCTAAGAAGCTGATTTTGAAAAAAGGCTGGCAAATTTCTGAACTATTGATATAGAAGACCTGAACAATCCTATCAGCCAACTTGACCTAATGGACGTTTGTAGAACATTCCACCCAATAACTGAAGAACACACTTTCTTTAATAGACTCCACTGTGTATCATCAAACAAATCTCAGCAAATTTAAAATAATTGAAATAATAAAAATTATTGTCTCTACCCAGAAAGGAATTAAGCTAGAAATCAGTAACAGAAAGATATTTGTAAATCCCCAAATAGTTAGAAATCTAACTATGTACTTCTAAACAAACCATGGGTCACACACACACAAAAAAATTAGAAAGTAATTTTAAACTAAAATGTAAACATATCAAAAGTTGTGGGATGCAGCTAAAGTAGTGCTTAGAGGGAATTTTTTTTTTTTTTACCATTAAATGCTTATATGAGAAAAAAAGGTTCCAAATCCAGAATCTAAGCATTCATTTTAAGATATTAGGAAAAGAAAAATAAATTAAACTCAAAGCAAGCACATAGGAGAAAATAATATAGAGCAAAAAATCAATCCTATTGAAAATCATAAAACAATAGAAAAAATAGTAAAACAAAAAGGCGGTTCTTTTAAAGGAATAATAAATGTTAAAACTGTAGGCAGACTTATCCAGGAAAAAAAAAAGGAGAGGGGCACCACAAATAACCAATATCAAGAATAAAAGCAGGGACATATTATAGATACTGAAGCCATTAAAAGGAATATTATGAAAAATCTTATGGCAATAAATTTGATAATTTAGGTTTTCACAGTGGTACCGAGGTAATTCCATGGGAATAGATAGATTATTATTTTCAACAAGTGTTGCTGGAACGAGTTGATATCAATATGCAGGAAAAATGAATATCAAGCTCTACCTCACAGCATACACAGAAATGTTAATTCAAAATAGACCAGAGTCGAAAACATTAAAGCCAAAATTATAAATCTTCTGGAAGAAGACAGAGAAGAAAACCTTCATCCCCTTGGTGTTGGCCAAATTTTTTGAGATGGGTCACAAAAAACAATATAAAAAAAATTTAAATAATTGAACTTCATAAAAGTTGAGGTTTTCTGCTCTCTGTAAGACATCATAATGAAAATGAAAAGATAATTCACAGGCTTGAGAAAAACCATAGTCACAATACGTTAACAAATGACTTGAATTCAGAATATCTAAGAGCTATTTCAATCAATAATAGGAAAACATTCCAAAAATACAGAAATACTAGCCAGCAATTAGAAAGGAATAAATTTCTGAGATATACATAAGAACAAGCTTGTTGGTAATAAGTGAATCTAAAATATTTATGTTGAATGAAAATAACCAGATACAAAAAGTACAGACTTTATTGTTTTCTTAATGTAAAGTTCTGGAGCAGATAAACTTATCAGTTGTGACAGAAATCAGATCAGTGATTGCCTGGGGTGGAAGTTGAGAGGAGGGCTGACTCAAAGGAGCATGATGGGACTGTTTGGGGCAATGGAAATGTCCTATAATATCTTGACTGATTGGTGTGGTGATTACACAGTGTATGTGAATGTCAAAAGTCGTCTTCCATAACTTAAAATGTGTGCATTTGATAGTAATTTTTCCTCAATAAAATTGATCATTTTTAAAAAATGAGAAGACTAGTGTATTAGGGTTCTCTAGAGAGACAGAACTAATAGGATATATATATATATATTTGTAGAATATATATATTTGTAGAATATATATATCCTATTAGTCATATATATATATTTTATATATATGTGTGTGTAAAGGGGAATTTATTAAGTAGTATTAACTCATACAATCACAAGTCCCACAATAGGCTGTCTGCAAGCTGAGGTGAAAGGAAGCCAGTCCAAGTCCCAAAAACTGAAGAACTTGGAGTCCAATGTTCGAGGACAGGAAGCATCCAACATGGGAGAAAGATGTAGGCTGGGAGGCTAAGCCAATCTAGCCTTTTCACGTTTTTCTGCCTGCTTTATATCCTGGCCACACTGGCAGCTGATTAGATGGTGCCCACCAAGATTAAGAGTGGATCTGCCTTTCCCAGCCCACTGACTCAAATGTTAATCTCCTTTGGCAACACCCTCACAGACACACCCAGGATCAGTGCTTTGCATTCTTCAATCCAATCAAGTTGACACTCAGTATAACCGGCAAGAACTAGCCATGATTTTTTCAGAGTCTACAATGCCCTAGGTATGCTACATGTGTTGTTTTATACTTAGTCCTCAAACCATCCAGTCAGCTATGTATTATCAATTCCATTTTACAGGTAGGAAATAAAGGATCAAAGACAGTCTTGTCCAATATCATAAAGCTAGTGAATATAGTCTGAATTCAAACCTATCTTTTTATTTGTAAAATGAGTATCATAATACCTGCTTTACTGAACTGTTACTAGGATTGCTAGAATTAAATAAAAATAAATAACTGCAAAGACTCCAAATTGAAATTACTTTAGAACCACCATCCAAAGAAGGTGGGTTGGAACTTGGAGCCTCAACCTAACCAACTCATGTTTCTACTAAATTAAAAATATCAACATTCTCCATAGGATTTAAACAGGACCCAGGGACTTATAACATAATAGTCAGAATATTCAGGATCTAATTCACAATTATTCTGCTTATGAAAAACCATGCAAATCTCAATTCCCGTGAGAGTAACAACAAATACCAACAGTGAGATAACACAAATGTTAAAATTATCTGCAAATGATTTTAAGCAGCCATTACAAAAATACCTGTGTAAGCAATCATGAAAAATCCCAAGATAGAAATGATAATTGAAAGTATGAATAACATAAATAGAAGATATAAATAAAAACCAAATGGAAATTTTTAAACTGAAAAATAATATAATTATTTAATTACATTTTTAAATTTTAATGAAATTTAAAACTGTCTGCAAAGAATCAGTGGCAGGATGGAGATGAAAGAGGATTTAGTGAATTTGATAATTTCAGTAGAAATTATCCAATCTGAACAACAGAGAGAAAAATTATTGAAACAAAAAATGAACAAAACCTCAGGAATCTGAGGGCCAAAAAAGATCTAACATTTGAGTCATCAGAGTCCCAGAAAGAAAGGAAAAATAGTATTGTACTGAAAAATGTTTGAAGAAATAAACGTTTTCCAAGTATGGCAAAAGACAATCTCATAGGGAAAAAGTTTCATTAAGAAAATGTATTAAAAGGCCCTAGGGGGAGGGGTATAGTTAAAAAGATTACTAGAAACAGTTATCTAGACTCTGAGCATCAATGTTACTAACATCACAAAGAGAGACAGATATCATTTACTTTCTAATGGAAAATGAATATACCATCACCTGTGAAAGTCTGATTAAAAAAAATTGAAGCCTGACTTGATCAAGCCCATAAATTATCAATTTAACAGGAAATACAGAGAACTGATAAATATGTCAAATCTACCACCTGCATAAAATTATCAAAATCCAGCTATGAGGCTGGGTGCGGTGGCTCACGCCTCTAATCTCACCACTTTGAGAGGCCGAGGTGGGGGGATCACCTCAGGTCAGGTGACCAGCCTGGCCAACATGGCAAAAACCCATCTCTACTAAAAATACAAAAATTAGCTGGGTGTGGTGGTGGGCACCTGTAATCCCAGCTACTTGGGAGGTTGAGGCAAGAGAATCACTTGAATCCAGGAGATGGAGGGTGCAGTGAGCCAAGATCATGCCACTGTACTCCAGCCTGGTGACAGAGTGAGACTCCATCTCAAAAAAAAAAAAAAAAAAAAAAAAAAAAAATTCCAGCTATGCAAAACACTACAGGACACAGATTTTAAAAACAAAACAAACAAAACCCTTTTCTTTACCAAATAAATTGCACTTCCCTATAAATATATACACCTAGTATGTACCACAAAAATTTTTTTTTAAATGAAAAAATAAATTGCACTGGGGGAAAAGAAGTGAAAAGGAAACTTGTAGATTAAAGACATTTAAAATATGTAAACCAAAAATAAAATTATAAGCACCCCCCCAAATATCTGAATGGACCCCTCAACCAAGGGCATTCCAAAGTTAACCTGAAAAGCTAGTTCAGGCCATGATATGAAGGGGTTCAGACATGCCTCATTATACCCTTCTCCCTTTTAGAATTCAGGAAAAGTCGACCAGCATTAACATCAACAGAGACCTGAAGTCTGATAAGAAACATTTACAATTGGCCGGGCATGGTGGCTCAAGCCTGTAATCCCAGCACTTTGGGAGGCTGAGGCGAGTGGATCACAAGGTCAGGAGATAGAGATCATCCTGGCTAACACGGTGAAACTCCGTCTCTACTAAAAATACAAAAAAATAGCTGGGCGTGGTGGCTGGCGCCTTTAGTCCCAGCTACTCAGGAGGCTGAGGCAGGAGAATGGCGTGAACCTGGGAGGCAGAGTTGCAGTGAACCAAGACCAGCCTGGGCAACAGAGCAAGACTCCGTCTCAAAAAAAAAAAAAAAAGGAAACATTTACAATCTATTCTCTCTGCAGCCTGCTACCTAGAGGCTTATCTGCATGATAAAACTTTGGTCTTCATAATCGTTTATCATTTTAGCCCATACATTCCTTTCTATTGATTCCAGGTCTTTAGATAATAACTTAACTCTTTCAACCAATAGCCAATCAGAAAATTTTTAAATCTACCTATAAGCTGGCAGTCCCCACTTTGCATTGTCCTGCCTTTCCAGATGGAACCAATGTACATCTAATGTGTATTGACTGATGTATTATGTCTTCCTCAAAAGTAAAAAAGCAAGCTGTACCCCGATCACCTTGGGAACATATTATCAGGACCTCCTAAGGCTGTGTTATGGGCACATCCTTAACCTTGGTGAAATAAACTTTCTAAATTGATTGAGACCTGTCTCAGATACTTTTGGTTCACAAATACGTATTTTAAAAATAGACAGAAAAACCTATGGTTTATTTTGGATGCACCTTTGGATGATAAAACTATTTTTAAAATGCAAAAAAATGATTGCCATAAGATAGGATATAGTTATTTTAGAGTGTTTACCTTTTTCAAATTCCAGAACCAAATTATGTTTGCTAATTTAAACTTTAAAATAAGTCTTTAGAAACTCTATCTAAAAAAGATAACATACAAAAAGATAACTATTAGAGAGTAATATATCTTTCACAAGATGTTCAAATTTGATAAAACAGTGTTGCTGATCATTAAGATGTACCTTAAATGATTAGGGGGAAAAAACCCACCTTGAAATGACCAAAAGATGCCTAAAAGAATAGTACATGTAAGTGGGTATAAAAAAAAAGTTGAAATTTTGACAAACTGATCATGAAATAAACATTCATTAAACTACATATTTATTTTATTAAACTACATATTTATTTTATACAGGTTCTACATTTGTATTATATTTTTCAATAAAAAATGGTTTTAAAAATTACTTGGCCATAAAAAAATTCCCTCTTCTGGGTCGGGCGTGGTGGCTCACGCCTTTAATCCCAGCACTTTAGTGGGCGGATCACCTGAGGTCAGGAGTTCAAGACCAGCCTGACCAACATGGTGGAACCCCATCTCTACTAAAAAATACAAAATTAGCCGGAAGTGGTGGTGCATGCCTGTAATCCCTTGGAAGGGATTACAGAAAAGGCTCAGGTAGGGGAACCGTGAATTATGTATTCATCTTGCGCTCAGCAAATCGGCACTTTACATAAGATAGGGTGAACATGGAGTAGTTACCTATGGAGATATTTAACCTTTTGTCTGTAGCTATCTGCTTAGGAACAGAAGGAAAGGCAGCTCTTGCATGACTCAGCTTTCAGCTTATTTTCAGCTTTCAGACTTGGGACGCTGAGGCAGGAGAATTGCTTGAATCCAGGAGGCAGAGGTTGCAGCGAGCCGAGATGGCGCCATTGCACCCCAGCCCGGGCAACAAAAGCGAAACTCCGTTTCAAAAAAAAAAAAATCCCTCTTCTGAATATGGAAAGGCTATAAGTAGAAATAGAAACCACTGAAATTGCATAGAAATATTTAATTATAAGGTGAACATTCATGTGACCTGAACTATGTGAATATTGATAATATAGTTCATCTAAACAAAGGCACAAAATTAAAATTTTTTCATAGAGAATGGGGGAAGTCCTAATTGAAAACTGTACAAGGCAACGTATTATGTGGGGGAAGAAATGATAAATAATGAAACAGAGAACTTCCAAGATCTTTTTGATGTTCCAGTCTGGCGCACACTCATTGTGCACATAAAAGCTGCTATTTTATCTTAAGTAATTAGAGGCTTCTAAACATACTGTGGATATTTTAAGGTGAAATATGCTAAATGGAAGCATTTTTTATAACTTTCAAGTATAACCAGGTGTGTTCTCTGATGCTTTAAGCTCATTAATTTGCAAAACATGTTTCATTTCATTCCTAAATAAGAACTCACATTTTCCTTTTTACTCATTTTTTTCACTTGAAAGGTTATTGAATTCATTGGAGAATGCTGTTCTGAATTTGGTGAGTAAAGAATATAACCTATTTGTTAAAACTTGATTTCAAAACTAGACGTAACTGTATACTACAGACTAGTATACTATACTCAACAGTATACCATATAGCTATTTGGTAAATTAAGGTGTTCATGTATACTTTTCTCAAGATTATAATTTCTGATAATAACCAAGAGTAAACAAATTTGATCAGTCATTTTCATTTATTTGTTCAATAGGCAGAGGAAATGTAAGAAATTACCCATGTACTTTTAGAGTTTCTCAAGCAAGAATTGCAAAGGATTTCAAGGTCCTTATGGAATCAACCTTTGGACTTTAACATGAAAACAGAAATAGTTAGGAATGATTCTGTGCAGTTTCGGTGCTGTGAAAGGAGAATAAAAACTCAAGACTCCAATTCACTCTGCCAGAAGGAAAAAAAATAAGCTGAAAGCTGAGTCATGCAAGAAGCTGCCTTTCCTTCTGTTTTTAAGCAGATAGCTACGTATAAAAGGTTAAATATCTCTATAGGTAGCTACTCTATGTTCACCCTATCTCATGTAAAGTGCCGATTTGCTGCGCACAAGATGAATACGTCATTCACCATTCCCCTACCTGCGCCTTTTCTCCAGTGACATGTAGATTACTATACCCTCGCTCTTCCCTCTCCAGCCCACTTTTCCCCTTTAAATACTGAAGCTCTCAAAGTCATCCTTGGATAAAGGAACAGACCACAGCCTGTTTCTCTGATTCTGTGTTCTTTTCTTCCACGTGTGTCCTTAACCTTGGCAAAATCAACTTCTAAATTGATTGAGACCTATCTCAGATACTTTTTGGTTTACAGTCCTTATTTTTCTCTAGATAATATTTTCAATTAGCATTTCCCCCAGAATTGGTATTTATACCTCTGGTTGTACAAGATGAATTTTTAAAAATAGTTACATGTTTATTTTATTATAATATGAATAATACAACTAATTCTCAATTCACAGATGTTAACATGTTGCTTAGAATAAAGCTAGGTTCAAAACTGATTTTAATTAAATGGTTAATTTAATGTGGCAAAAATCATGATGTTGGTATGCAAATGACTGGTTCAGAAAACTCTGATCTACCAACAATGTGACAAACATTGGTTTGAAGAAGAAGAAACCTGGGTTCTTGCTCTGGCTCAGCCTAGATTCAATTCATTCCATTCTTTACTCATTTAAAAGTTTAGTTTTGTGTCTATCGTGAGCTAGATATTATGCAGCATTCAAATATTTGAAATTAACCATCAGACTGCGGGGAGTTAGTCACTTTCCTGTCCACCCCTGTTTCCTCAAGTGAGGGCTTGGAAGAGAGTTCATTTAGCTTCTTAACATGGTGTAAAATAACATTAAGAACTTTATCAAACAACACTACCAGTGAGTTAGAGTGAATGGTTCCCCAGATTTAAGAGTCAATCTTTGCTGGTAAGATTGTGTCTGACCATCCAGCTTTTGGCACTCTGCCTGTCACAGGTTCTCAAAGTGTATTTCCTGAGTGAGTTGTCATTGAGCCACCTCATTCCAGCATTTGTGATTTTGTGATTCTGTGATTCTCTAAACACGAATCTATATTTTCAGTCATGTCAGCTGGGTACATGTTCACTAAAATTTTATAAAAATAATCTGGCTTTAGGCTGGGCACGGTGGCTTACGCCTGTAATCTTTGGGAGGCCGAGGCGGGTGGATCATGAGGTCAGGAGATCAAGACCATACTGGCCAACATGGTGAAACCCTGTCTCTACTAAAAATACAAAACTTTGCAAGGCATGGCAGTGCGCACCTGTAGTCCCAGTTACTTGGGAGGCTGAGGCAGGAGAACTGCTTGAACCCAGTAGGTGGAGGCTGCAGTTAGCCGAGATCACGCCACTGCACTCCAGCCTGGGCGACACAGCAAGACTGCATCTCAAAAAAAAAAAAAAAAAAAAAAAAAATCTGGCTTTAAAATCAGGATTAATCATATGTGTCTGGAATGATAAAGGAGATTCTGTTTTTAACAAGCATAAAGTAATTCTCTGAAGAGCATAGAAGTCAGGGTTACAGTGATAACTAATACTTTTATTTATTTATTTATTTATTTATGAGAAAGGGTCTTACTCTGTCACCCAGGCTGGTGTGCAGGGTCTTGCTCTGTCACCCAGGCTGGAGTGCAGTGGTGCGATCTCGGCTCACTGCAACCTGCACCTCCCGGATTCAAGTGATTCTCCTCCTCAGCCTCCCGAGCAGCTGGGATTACAGGTGCCTGCCACAACAACCAGGTAATTTTTGTATTTTTAGTAGAGATGAGGTTTCACTATGTTGGTCAGGCTGGTCTCGAACTCCTGACCTCAAGTGATCCACCTACCTGGGCCTCCCAAAGTGCTGAGATTACATGCGTGAGCCACCATGCCTGGTCGATAACTAATATTTTATAAAAGAATGCAACTGGCCTTCTTCCTTCTTGCCAAACGCCACCAACATGGTGTTCAGGCACTTCGTGGAGGTTGGTCATGTGCACTACATCTCCTCTGGACCTCGTGCAGGAAAATTGGTCGCAACTGTAGATGTTATTGATCAGAACAGGGCTTTGATTGATGCACCTTGCACTCAAGTGAGGAGACAGACCATGCCTTTCTTTTTTTTTTTTTTTTTTTTTTTTTTTTTTTTGAGACAGAGTCTGGCTCTGTCTCCCAGGCTGGAGGGCAGTGGCGCAATCTCGGCTCACTGCAGGCTCTGCCTCCTGGGTTCACACCATTCTCCAGCCTCAGCCTCCCAAGTAGCTGGGACTACAGGCACCCACCACCATGCCAAGCTAATTATTATTATTTTTTCTTTTTTTGGTATTTTTTGTAGAGTCAAGGTTTCACGGTGTTAACCAGGATGGTCTCGATCTCCTGACCTCATGGTCTGCCCTCCTCAGCCTCCCAAAGTGCTGGGATTACAGGCGTGAGCCACCGCGCCCAGCCAGACCATGCCTCTCAAGTGCATGCAGCTCACTGATTCCAACCTCAGGTTTCCACACAGTGCCCACCAGAAGTATGTCCGACAAGCCTGGCAGAAAGCAAATATCAATACAAAATGGACAGTCACACAATGCGGCCAAGAAGATTGAAGCCGGAGAAAGGAAAGCCAAGATGACAGATTTTGATCATTTTAAAGTTGTAAAGGCAATGAGGAACAGAATAATCAAGAATGAAGTTAAGAAGCTTCAAAAGACAACTCTCCGAAGGCTTCTCCCAAAAAAGCACCTGCTGTGAAGGGTGCTACTGCTGCTGCAGCTGCTGCTAAAGTTCTAGCAAAAAGATAACCGCTGCGGGCAAGAAATCTCCAGCTCAGAAGTTTCCTGCCAAGAAAGCCACAGGCCAGAAGGCAGCGCTGCCTCCAAAAGCTTAGAAGGGTCAGAAAGCTCCAGCCCAGAAAGCACCTGCTCCAAAAGCATTTGGCAAGAAAGAGGTGATTAGAAAAGTAATAAAAGTTCTATTTGGGAAAAAAAAAAAAAAAGAAAGAAAGGAAAGGAGGCACCCGAGTTATAAGCAAGGCTCTAAAATGCTAGACTGCTTATGGATTTTAAAAATTGCATTATACAAACATGAACCTTATAGTTTTGTTTCCCTGGTAACCATTTATGATAAAAATAATCAACTTGATAGAGTTCCTCTGTCAGCTTTTGTCAAGATCTGGGATGTTATCCTACAGCTGACCCTTGAATAATGTGGGGCTTAGGAGGTGCCAATACCCTGTGCAATGGAAAATCCATGTATAACTTTTGACTTCCCCAAAGTGTAATTGCTAATAACCTATGTTGACTGGAAGCATTACCAATAACATAAACAGTCAGTTAACACATATTTTGTATGTGTATTGTATTCTTACAATAAAGTAAGCTAGAGAAAAGAAAATGTTATTAAGAAAGTAATAAGGAAGAGAAAATACATTTACTTTTCATTACGTGGAACTGGGTCATCATAAAAATCTTCATCTTGTTCATCTTCATATTGAACAGGTTGAGGAAAAGGAGGAAGAGAAGGGGTTCGTCTTCCTGACACGGGGGCAACAGAGACAGAAGAGATGGAGGAGGGAAAGGGAGGAAGGAGAGTCAGGACACTCAGTGAAACTTCATGAAAATACATTGTAATTTCTGTCTGACTTTTTGCTTCTTTTCATTTCTCTTAGAATGTTTCTATATGGTAACACCTTTCTTTCACTGCTTTAGTTTCAGTGCCTGTGTCAAAGAAGTTTCAGTGCCTGCATCATAGAAGGGTCCATGTCATTCTTTTTGTCCAAGAAGTCAAAAGCAGTCTTGAATAATTGGAACCCCTCTTGCCAGATTGTCTAACGTCAATTTGTTTTCTGGCACTGCCTTTTCTATGTCTTCTTTCTCATCAAGTGGCACTGGTTTGGAAGCACCAATCTCCACCACATCTTCTTCTGTTAATTCCTCTGGTGTAGTGTATATTAACTGTTACATTTCTCCAAGATCCAGATCTTGAAACCCTTCACTTTTCACTTTTTTTTTTTTTTTTTGCCATAGCCATAATATCGTTCATGATTTCTTTGATTGGCTCTGTGGTAAATCCTGTGAAGTCATGCACAATATCTGGATAGTTTTCTCCAGCATGAATTTATTATTTCAATCTTGATGACCTCCACACCTTTCTTTTTATAACAACGATGACACCTTCAATGGTGTTATCATTCCAGACTGTCATGATACTCTATCAGAGTTCTCTTCCATGGCATTGACAATCATTTCCATTGAGTACCTTGTGTAATAAGGCTTAAAGATTCTTAGGAGCCAAGGATCTAGAAACTGAATTAAAGACATTGTTTTTGGGGGCAAGTAGACCACATTGACAGCTTCAGTGTTGAATTCATGGGGTTCTGGGTGGCCAGAGGCACTGTCCAATATCAGAAAAAAATTTAAAGGTAGTCCCTATGGGCAAGGTAATTCCTGACTTCAGGGACAAAGCACTGATGTATCCAATCCAGAAAAAGGGTTCTCATTGTCTGGGCCTTCTTGTTGTACAACTATAAGACTGGCAGCTGATGTTCTTCTTTTCCTTTCAAGGCTCAGGGATGAGCAGCTTTATCGATAAGGGCAGTCCTGATCATTACCCCTCCCCCTGCATTTGCACAAAACAGTAGAGGTAGCCTATCCCCTCCTGCCTTAAATCCTGGTGCTATCTTGTCTTCCTTACTAAGAAACGTCCTTTGTGGATTCTTTTTTCCAGAACAGGGCACTTTGATCTGCATTAGAAACCTGTTCAGATATTCTGTCTCCTCAATGATTTTCTTAATGGCATCTGGGAACTTGTCTGCTCTCTCTTGGTTGGCAGAAGGTTCTTCTTTCATTATCCTGACATTTTTAAAGCCAAACCTCTTCCTAAAATTATTAAACCATCCTTTGCCGGCATTAAATTCTTCAGGTTTATGTCCTTTGCCTTCCTTTTGCTCTAAGTTGTCATATAATGACTTTGCTTTTCCTCAAAGCACATCACAGTTTATAGGTATGCATTTCTTATAGGAATCCTGCATTCCCACAGAAAAACTGCATTTGCAATACTAGACAAAAAGGTATTTTGCAAAAAGTGTAAGTTTTTCATGCTTGCCGGTGTAGCTGCAGCGATAGCTTCATGAATTTCCTTTTCTTTTTTTACAATCATTCTTAAGCTGAATTCATTTATCTTGAAATGATGGGCAACCACAGCTGCAGACTTCAATCTACAATACATATCAAGCAATTCAACTTTTCCTTGTAAGATCATGAATTTTCTCTGCTTCTTGGGAGCACTTCCAGCATTCATAGTGGCACTTTGTATGGGTGCCATGGTGTTATTCAAGGTTTACAGTATTGCACTAAACACAATGAAAAACACTAGAGAACCAAAGAAGATTACTTTTTACTGCAATAGGCAATTTACCAGAGAGATGAACTGCTCACACAGAGATGATTAGTGTCCCATGGCATTTTAAGTGGATACTCACAGCACTTAAGCTCACAGCGATAGCAACAGGAAGTGACTGTGAAATTATTACAATAGTACAGTAGGTACTATAGTTAATTTTATGCACTTATGATTTAATACAGCATCTGTACATTTGTTTACATTTCTCTCAACGGCAAATGGTGCCATGTGTGGTCTGTAAGCATGTGCATAAGTTTTGATAAATTTTAACTTTTTATAATTTGTGCTATTTTATAGTAATAAATAATAACACAGACTAGTATCTACATATGTTTATGCATTTGTGACATACCTAATCTTTTAATATATTTCTAAGCTACGAAGTTTGTGAATTTTTCCAAATTGTCACAATCTCCAAAAATTTTTCCATTATATTTACTGAAAAAAATGCATGCAAGTGGACTCATGCAGTTCAAACCCATGTTGTTCAAAGGTCAACTGCACTTGCAAGCTAACGATTGCCTGTTTCATGAATGCTGGTGGAAGACATGAGGTGTCTGGGTCAGAGTTCAAGGACTCTCTTCCTCCCAGCTCATCATGAGCTTCGTGCTGATTTGTTGCTGTTACCTATGTCTCCCAAGTCCCACAGGGATGAGGCAGAGGGCCCCTGTAGATGCCTGCACATGCAGTGGGTTATGATATAGGAGAGGAACATTGAGTTTGGGGAATCTCTGGCTTTTATGGCAAGTGTAAGCAAGCTTGTTCTTTAACCAGAGAGGCATTACCTCATCGCTTAAAGTTGCTCTCTGCAAACATACCTGAGTAAAGCCTGGTTGGGGCCTATATTCTTGGTATACCAGCAAGAATATGCAGTGACACTCAGGGCCCATCCCAGTGTGCTTCTCCCAGAAACCTCTAAGTTGAATGATCTTTAGTTCTGTGTCAAACTCCTGTTTTTCTTCCTCCTTCCTTATACAGTATCTTAAGGGAAATACTACAAAATGTCTCAGAAAGTGTTGGTTGGATATCTAAAGTTTAAAAAGGAAGCATCCACACAAGCTGGAGATTAAAGAAGCATCAGTAGAAGTCGGTGACCATTAACAGAAATATTTTTAAAATAAGTCGGGTAGTATTTTTGTAGCTCTCTCCCTAACCTTTCTTTTCCACTATTTGACCAAACTCTACAACGATAAGAAGTAACAGCCAGGCACAGTGGCTCACGCCTGTAATCCCAGCACTTTGGGTGGCTGAGGTGAGCAGATCACTTGAGGTCAGGAGTTCCAGACCAACTTGGCCAATATAGTGAAACCCTGTCTCTACTAAAAATACAAAAATTAGCCAGGCATGGTGGCTCGGCCTGTAGTCCCAGCTACTTGGGAGGCTGAGGCAAGAGAATCGCTTGAACCCAGGAGGTGGAGGTTGCAGTGAGCCAAGATCACACTACTGCACTCCAGCCTGGACAACAGAGCGAGCCTCTGTCACAAAAAGAAGAAGAAGAAGGAGAAGGAGAAGAAGAAACGAGCCTGTCTTCAGCCTGCCTTTAGTTTGTTTTAAAACAATTGCTTAAAATTAATAATTGCCAGTATAGTTAGTAACACTCATCGCAGTGAAGCAAATCATGCCCAGTGTAAAGCAAAGATACGGCCAGGCTCTCTTTTTCCTTCTCCAGTGAAGGCAGAAAGCTAAAGAAAGCCTTGCTACTAAGGGATACGGGCTGTGGCTGTGTCCTGCTCAGAATCAATCTCAGTGTCTGCTCTAAAGGCTGATGACAACTAGTTTAAATCAAGTTCAAGTCCCCTTCAGCCTTAGAAGAAATAGCTCCTCAAGTTATGGAAAGATCCCAAAATTCCTTGCAACTCATTCTTTATTATAGAATTGTGAGCTCTGGAGTTTGCAGATTTTCTTTTTGTACTACATGAAGCACATTATAAGAAAGTATCCTGTAGCTTTCATTTTGGGGGAAAATAGATATAGTCCTCAGAGATATTCTGAATCCATTCTTGTCACTCACAGAAGTTTCTTCACAGGAGATCTCCATGACTCTTTATGTTTCAAGGTATTAATTTCACTTGGAGCATTGTTTCTCCCACCCAAAGAATTTTATGTTAAAATACACTATTTTATTTATTTATTTAGAGACAGGATCTCGCTTTGTCACCCAGGCTGGAGTGCAGCGGCACAATCATGGCTCACTGCAGCCTCAACCTCCTGGGCTCAAGCGATTCTCTTGCCTCAGCCTCTCAAGTAGTTGGGACTACAGGCACAGAACCATGCCCGGCTAATCTTATTTCTTGTAGAGATGAGGTCTCACTATATTGCCCAGGCTGGTCTCAAACTCCTGGGCTCAAGTGATCCTCCCACTTTGGCCTTACAAAATGTTGAGATCACAAGTGTGAGCCACTGTGCTGGCCTAAAATACATTTTAATAGAGTTTTTCCTAACAAGCACCATTGGCCGCAACTGAACTCAGCATTTTAACATTTTCATGTGACGGTCAGTTCTAGATTTGATGTAAAAGGCCCAACGTGTAACTCTTAGCATCACTTTGCAAAACAACAACAACAAAACCCACTGCCATGCTGCAAGAGATCATTGGCAGAAATGGTGATTACAGTGCTTATCCTACAGGTCTGTCAACAAGATAAAATAAGAAAATCTGAGAGAAGTTGCCTGGCAGGATGTCAGTACTCTTGGCATACCAGCAAAAATATGTGGTGAAACTCAGGGGCCATCCCAACCTGCTTCTCCCAAAAACCTCTAAATGGAATAATCTTTAGTTCTGTGTCAAATTCCGATTTATCTTCCTCCTTCTTTATACAGTATCTTAAGGGAAATATTACAGAATGTCACAGAAGATGTTGGTTGGATATCTAAAGTTCAAAAAGGAAGAGAACCACTTGAGCTGGAGATTCAAGAAGCATCAGTAGAAGTCAATGGCCATTAATAAAAACATTTTTTATTAAAATATTGAATCTGAATAGAAACCTCCTGTATTTCATTTCTTAAATTCCTTGAGGGTAGCAACTGCATCTTCTGCATCAATGTAGCCCCTGCCAAGCATAGCTCCTGAAGGCAGGTCCACAGACATTGGCTGAATAAACGAGTGCTCTGCTCCCAGTCCGTACTTTCTCTGTGTCATAAAAAAGCTGACATGTCTGTGCCGCATTTGAGGATGACACTGGATTTCCACAGTGCCTTTTCGCCTCAGAGCTCATATTACTTCCTATCAAGTTATTTCCCTGCCCCTCATCGCATCCCAGTGAGAAAGCAGAAAATCCTAGTTCCTTACTGTTTCAGTAGTGGCTCTTCACGCTTACAGAACATTAGGCACACCTGGAACATCACCTAGAGGGACACTGACGTCACCTCATCATAACATACGTCTCTGACAACTGTCAGGAGATATTCCAAGTAAACAAAAAGACACCGTGAATGCCACTTAGGGGTTCTACACAGGGAACTGTTAGTGATAAAAGCCTATTTATTCTCTTTGAGATGGTATACTGGTGACCTCTAGTGGCAAAATTGGTTCAAAATCTGCTTCTATTTCCCACAAAATTTACTTCTTTATTAATTCATACTTTAATTTTATCCTTTATTTAGTAACATTCTCTACTTGTGGAATGTTCTTAATTATGCACAATGATTTGTGTCTGTTCATATCCAAGTAGTACAATTTTAGCATTTCACAGAATCACAGAACTTTTGAGCTGAAAGAGTTCTCAAGGGATCTATCAGTCTTATTTCATTACACGTGGAAAATGAGATCCAGAGGAGTCAAGTGGCTTGCCTGAAGCCTCACCACAGTGGGGCGACAAAAAGTCTTCTGACTCTAGCACACTGCCTGCCAGGTAGTAGGAGCCAAGCAACTAAAAAGAAAATGGGATCTTGTTTAGAGTTCCATGTGGAGGAAAAGTATGGACGCTGTCCTATCCCTCACTATTGTATCCTGGGTGTGTGAGGAGCCTTTAATTCACAGGTCTTCAGAGAGAGTACAAAGCATCTGAAGGACCATCCCTGAGGAGCCTCACCCATATCTGCATTGGCATCTAGATCCCATGTCTCCAGCCTGAGTCTGACGTCATATTGGATGAGACTTCTGGGGCGTCTTGAGAGAGTAAATGTATTTTGCGTTTGGAAGAATGTAAATAATCTGTGTCCAGAGGACCAGCTGTGGTGATTTTTTAAGTGGTCACAAATCCTTGACATGCCGTCATGGACATCCTCTCCTACGTTCCTTCCCCTTGAAGCTGAACAGGCTTGGGACTGCTTCCACCCAGAGAGTGTAATGGAAGTGATGCTGTGTGACTTCTAAGGATCAGTCATAAAAAGGACACACAACCTTCCTTGTCGGTCTTAGAACACTTGCTCTAGGGAAAACTAGCCACCAAGAAGAAATACAATTCCCCCCAAACCACTGTACTGGAGAGACCATATGTAGGTGCTTGAAATGACAGCTCCAGCTCAGCTCCCAGCCAGCAGCCAGCTTCCACCGTGGCTGTGTGAGTGAGCCACCTTGGTTACACAGCCTGTCTAACTTCAGATGACTGCAGCCCCCACCTACATCTGACTGCAGCTGCAGGAGAGACCCCTAAGGGAGAACTGCTCAGTTAAGTCCTTCCCGGATCACTGAGTCACAAAATAGTGAGGAAAATAAAATGGTGTCACTCTATAACACTAACTTGTGGGGTAAATTGTTACACAGCAATAACGTACAGAACAAATAGTTTCTTAAAGACATTTCTCTCATTCGGTAACAAACACTGGATGAAAATGCAAAATAACATACACATATTAAATACTGGCGGAATTGCAGTTAATCTGTTCAACTTTCATAAATCAGAGTTCTTGGTCCAAATGAATAGGTATTCTAGGTGACAGAAATGTAAGTTCTTCCTCTTTCTTGAAATGGTGATTCCATTTAATAGAATGGTGATTCAAATGGAATGGTGATTCTATTTTAAGAAGGCTAAGTAAATTTTATGAAGTTTTCCAAAGGGAATTTTCTATTTCAGAATCCTAGCGTTTTTCGACCAGGTTTCCCCAAATGAACCACAGAACACAGAAAAGGATGTGAGTGACCATTTTCTGAATTCTCCCAAGGGTGTTTTATAACCAGTACCTTTCTAGATGCAAGGAAATAATTTAATTCATTGCATACAATGAACACCTTTGGAAGGCTTAGTTCCCTCTCAGAACCCAGGCTGAGAAGGCTGGGAGGCACTATAGGCTAACTCAGCCATGCAGTAGCGTTGTCAACTGGAAACTGAAGTTTAGAGATGTTTGCACAATGTTACCACACCAAACCTGAACCAGGGTTTGATTGCAGGGACTTCAACTCTAGAGCTTGGAAACTTAGTCATTACTCAGTGTTCCTAAGAAAAATACTCCATAAATGGGTAATAAACAAGGGAAATATTTGCCTTAGCAGCAATGTTTATATGTGAACAGGTAATGGATTTAGCAGCAATGATTGTAACTATCTGGTAATGCAAATTACAAGTGCGTAAACTCAAAGTTATCTGAGCCAAAGACTTCTTTTTCCTTTTACTTAAAATAATAAAGCTAAAACTTTTTTAAAAAGCATTCAACTCAGATTAGTGAGGTGTTGCTTTATCTCCAAACCTGTAGGCCATCAATACAATAGGGAGTGTGAATCAGGGGAAAGACAGAGGAGCAGAGTTCAAAGGTCAGGCCCCTCTGAGACCAGAGAGAGAAACCAAAGGGAGTAGGAGTGCATAGGTGAGAGAGAGAGAAAGGAAGGAAGGGAGGGAAGACAGAACACAGCAATGGAAAGAAGACACACACCATAGAGAGCACTCAAGAGAGGATCAGAGGCAAGATTACAACAAAGGACACAGTGGATAAAACGTTTGTTGAGGGAATGAGGAAAAGGGGAGAAAAAGAGAAGGTGTGGGGTATAACAAATTAAAGATGCTACTATTCGTCATTCTTTATTAGAATGATGAAAATAATACCAACTACGATGGATTAGGAAAAGTAGTATAGTGAGATGGCAAAGGCAGCTCTGATCTGTGTCACCATTTTGTCAAAGTGGCATATCTGATATGTAGAATTTAAGGTCATAATCCTAATTTGAGTCCCGGCTTTGAGATCCATGTGAAAATATCAATGTTTGGTTTATAAACACCTTATCTCCTTAGGGAAATTAACGTTAACAACTTCAGGAGCCCAGCCACATGGCAATAGGAACATGCATTGTCTACACCCACTTTCATCCAGTGGCATTCACTGCAGGAGGTGCCAGCCTGAGAGTCAAATCAGATGCACTGAACTGACAGCTGGGTACGTAATGGGTGAATGGATAAAGGAATATTCCACTTTTCCTCGTTGATTGCCCTTCCCTATCTCTACTGGAGAAAAATTTGAAGACAAATTTACTGGAGAAGAAATGAAGTGAATATAAGTGTAAATTTGAATAATTCAAGGCAGTAGGAATAGAATCTCTGTACACCTGATTTCCATATATAAAAGATTTTAAGGCTGGGTGCGGTGGCTCACACCCATAATCCCAGAACTTTTGCAGGCTGAAGCAGGCGGACCACTTGAGGTCAGGAGTTTGACACCAGCCTGGCCAACATGGTGAAATCCTGTCTCTACTAAAAAAAAAAAAAAAATACAAAAATTAGCCAGGTGTGGAGGCGGGCTTCTGTAGTCCCAGCCACTCCAGAGGCTGAGGCAGGAAAATTGCCTGAACCTGGGAGGGGAAAGTTGCAGTGAGCTGAGATTGCACCACTGTACTCCAGCTTGGGCAACAGAGCGAGACCCTGTCTCTAAATAAATAAATAAATAAAAGATATTAAGGTACTATGTATCTCTTCCTTTTTTCCTTTTCTAAGGATATACTGAGGATTATAACTTAATAAATTGAGAAAACGTAAATCTCTTCTGATATAAATAAATAGTTTGATGTGAAATGAAATATTTATATAGTCTCAAAATATCTCCCTCTAAAATACTTGCTAATTACTGAAGGAAAAATGAGTCAGACACCACCCGTAATCAAGAGCTCAAAGTAAACCTCACTGGTAAAGGGAAAATAGAAATTATATACCACCTGACAGTATGCAATGAGAAGAAGACAGTATCATTCTGTTATATTCTTGCCAAACTTATTGATCATGAGGAAACATCAGAAAACACAAACTGAGAACCATTTTACACAATGACTGCTCTATAATCTTTTAAAGTTATGAAAGTCAAGGAAAGATGGAGGAAGTGTTCCAGATTGAAGGAGATGAAAGTGACGTGACAGCTACATGCAACATATGATTTTAAACTGATACTTTTTGTAAAGGATATTATCAAGACAACTGGTGAAGCTTCAGTGGGCTTTGAAGATTGGGTGAGAGTGATGTAGGGATGCCGTTTTCCTGATGATATTGGTTGTATTGTGGTTACGAAGGAGAAAGTCTTTGTTTGTAAGAAATACACACTAATGTATCTAGGAGTGATAGAGCATTGGCAACTTTCAAATAACTTAGGAACAAAACAGAATCTTTTTTAGGTTACTTGAAAATTTTCTATAGTTTGAGATTATTTCAAAATAAGGGATAAAATGCAAAAGACATGACGGTGCTGAAGGGTGGCATTTACAATTTGTGCCATGTCTCCTTTACTCTCCGCCCTCCATGCATGCCTTGAATATCCTGTAGCTAAATTTGCCACTTTCTACATTTTATTTTTCCTAAACAACTTTTCACATGCATCACCACAGTGGTGTTGTGATAGATGTCCATAATCCAACCACTTATATTTTCACATGCTTCTGAAAATTATCACCCATGTTAGGATTAATACCTTAGTTCTATATATTAGAAAAACTCTAGTATTAATCTCATTTTTTATGAAAAACATTGCATAAATATAACATGAAAATCCAATAACCTATAATCCCTTCACACTAATATATACATTTTTCCAAGTTCCCTTCCCATTCTAGTCCATATATATAAATTACTTT